ATCACTTTGACCTTACTCTTATTTCATGCTGTATAATCTCTCTGGGCACTTCATATACCTCTGATCATGAGTACTCCCTTCATGAGACTGAACTCGAGATCTTTACATCATCATCCGTTGGTTCACTTTACCTCCTGAGCTGCAGACCTGTATCTCCTTCAACGCATCAGGCATCTCTTGGTATCTTGCAAGTACATCCAGGTCTGTATGATATACTGAACACTTTATTCTATTTTTATTCTAAAAACTGCTCCTTCTCTTACTCTCTAGCCCCTGCGCCATCAATCCAATCATGCGATTTAAATACTGTAATTTCTCTATTAGCCAGAAGCCAATCAAATTCTAGCAATTCTAGCTCTTTCAAAACTCTGAGCTCTATCTCTCCCATGCCTGCTCATCTGACTATTATTATCCTAGCTCAGGCTTTCATTGTATCTCACCTTGTTCTCAGATATAGGCTCTGAGTTACTTTCTCTTTCCTCTCACACCCTTCCCATCTACACACCAAGAGAGCAAGCAAGCATGTGCTCTCTGAACTGCAAATGGAAATATGCTGGTCAGATCCTCATTGGTTCTCAATATATTGTGAATTTCTTAGTATAAGTATCAATGTCGGATAACAGTTCTTCTCTCTCTGGTAGGGTCCATTTGCCCTCCCAGGACCTGGACTGGTATTTTCAGGGTCCTGCCATACAGACAGATTATGTTTCCATTCTTCCCAAGGAGATAGTAAGTATTGATTCATTTTACAAATACAGCCCAATGTTGTAGAATTCTGATCTTACCCTGTATGATTCATGAAGGTAAAGTCCTAGCTGATTATGCTTTCCATGAGGATTTTGTGAAAACATGAATTGTTTCCCGGGGCAGAGATGAGGGAAGGCAAGTGAGGTGACCACAGAACAATATTTAAAGGGACAGTCACCAGCTGTTTTGTGCAGTCTTCTCCTTACATTTTGTACCCTAGGTGCCATGCCTACCTTACCCCATGTGTCTCTATTAACCTTGCTTCCTACTTTATTAGCATGAACTATGGAAAAGAGTCATGATACAACTTATTAACAGCTCATGGTTTAGACTCTAGATGAAACCAAGTGTGCTCAGAGGATAGGCCACATAATAGAATTTAACTTGGATGATTGGGTATGAATTGGGTCCATTAGCCATTTGGCAGAGAAATATGGCTAAATATACCCAAAGATTTAAATCATCTTATGCCAGTTGATCCAGGATATATCCAATTAGATATATCTAATTAAATAATCATATATATTGACAATTATTCTTACATTATATACATAAAGAATATTTATAATAACAAAGAGAAAGGAAGTAAATATTCATAAATAGAGGATAATGCTTTAATGGCAGTACATTATGCATCACTAAATAATTCTGTAGATTTTAAGAAACCATGTAGACAATATCATAATAAATACAATAAGTTTATAAAACTGCATAGAACATTCCCAAATTAGTTAATATTCAACATATGTTTGAAAATAAGACCAAAAGAAAATATAAATGATGTTAACAAGGTTCATTCTAAGTTTGGGGATTATGGGGTGACTTTTTGTGTTTTAAAATTTTTTTCTCATGTTAAAAAAGTTTAGTCAGGCATGGTGGTGCATCTCTGTAATCCAAGCACTCAGGAGGCTGAGGCAAGAGGTTTGTCATAGTTCAAGGCCAAGCCTGGACTACATAATGAATTCAAGGCCAGCCTGAACTATGTAGCAAAATCTTGTCACACACACACAAAAGAGAGAATCAATTCAAAGTGAGATAAAGACTTGAATGGAAGACCCAAGACGATACAACTGCTAGAAAAAAATATAGAGGGCAAACTACATGGCAGTGATTTAAGCACTGATTTTTTTAGATTTGACCCTAAAAGCTCAGGTAACAAAAGCAAAGTAGATAAGTGGGATTTACACCAAACAAAAAAGGTCTGCACGGCAAAGGAAACAATTAAGAATTAAAGACTACACAGAACATACAAGGAAGTCAATCCAACAGCCAGAAAAAACCTCAGATTTGTTTTGCTTTTTTTACCCCAGGTTTTTTTGTTTATTTGTTTGTTTGTTTGTTTGTTTTGGTACTTGGGACTCAAACTCAGGACCTTGTTCTTGGGAGGCAGGCTGTGGAACCACTGAGCCAAATCCCCGGCCTTCCCCCCAGATTTTTTAAAAGGACAAACTGGAGACAGGTATGGTGGCACACGGCACACTGCTGTAATCTCATCTACTTAGGAGGCATGGGCAGGAAGACTGCAAGTTTGAACCCCAATTAAAAAAAATATATATATATATATAATCAACCAACTGATAAATTAAAAAATGTGCAATATCACTAATCATTAGAGAAACTCAATTGATAAACAGTGAGATATTTCTTCACACACATCAGAATGACTATCATCAAAAAGACCAATGATGAGGGCTGGAGAAGATGCATAGAAAAGAGGATCCTTGTATATACTATACTATTGGTGAGAATGTAAATTATTATAGCTATCATAGAAACTATATGAGGTTCTTTAAAAAATTATATGGATGTTCTTCAAAAAATGAAAACTAGGCTGGGGATTTAGCTCAATGGTTCCAGCATCTGCCTTGCAAGCGTAAGGACCCAAGTTCAATCCCCAGTACCAAAAAAGAAAAAGAAAACTAGAACTACGGTATGACCTAGCAATCTTACTTGCAAGTATATATCCAAAGCACTTGAATTCAGTGTGTTGTCTGCATTCTCATACTCACTGCAGCACTATTCACAATGGCTAATTTATGGCCTCTACTTAAATGTCCATCATTGGATGAATGGATAAGGAAGATATATATACACAATGGGACAGTATCCAGTCTTTAAAAAGAAGGGGATTCTACCATTTGTGACAGCATGGATGAACCTGGAAGACATTATGCTAAGTTCACTAAGCCAGGCACAGATCTACAAATACCTCAGACTCTCAGTCTCCTTTATAGGCCAGAGCTCCAACCCCATTCTAATTGCCTAATTGTTTTTAAACACCTAAAAGAAGTCTCCATGGGGTATCTGATCAAGTTCTTAAATTTAATGTCCAAAAATAGACCTGTCTAAATATCACATGGTCTCACCTTTTCCTTAGAGTCTAAAATAACTGCATTTCTAGAAGCAGAGTAGATGGTAGCTACCAGAGGTGAAGGTTGGGGGAAGACGCCGGTCCAAGACTACAAAATTTCACCTAGACAAAAGGAATGTGGTTTTTACATATATTACAAGGTACAGTGACTATAGTTAATAATGTACATTTTAAAACAGCTAAAAGAAGACATCTAAAATGTTCTAACCACAAGAAAATGGTATTTGAGGTGGTAGATGTGTTTTTTGTTTCATTTTATAGTACTGTAATTGAACTCGGGGCCTTCATACTGAGCTACATCCCAAGTCCTTTTAAATTTTTTTGAGACAGGATCTTGCTAAGTCACTAAAATGCCCAGGCTGGCCTTGAATTTGAGATCCTTCTGCCTCAGCCTCCCAGAGTGCTGGGATTATAAACTTGCACCACCATTCTAGGGTAATGGATATGATAATTAGCTTTATTTAATCATTCTACACTGTATATTTCACATTACTTTGTACCCCATTAGTACATACAATTATAATTTGTCAATTTACAATGAAATTTTAAAAATAAAAAATTTAAAGAAGAACAATTTTTAATTAAAAGTAATTTTAAAAACAAAAGCCATTTTCATTCTCTGGGATTTTCTAATCATTGGCATTTGCTGATAAGTTACCACTCTAACTCTGGCTTAGAAGAAAAGCTGAGAACGTTTATAAAACAACCAATAGGGTTTGTTCCTGTTGTGAGCATATTTGAGACAAATAATCTCTATGACCGCACCATTGCACAGACCTTGCTGTTTGCTCAAGCAGCTACTAACTCTGGTGGACACAGTGTTCTTTCTCAGTGCCTCATTGTGACTATTGCATATTTCAAGTCCTAGCTTTGTGATATTATAGTAACAGCTTGAAATAAGTGCTGTGAGTTTCAGCTTGCTGTTTAGGAGCCCATATGTGAGGGCCTCTCCCAGACCTCAGGGAGGAGTAACCAAGGAGCAAGACATACAGCCCTCCTGCTGCCCCAAACTGCCAAAACCTGGATCTCCTTTCATATTATTTGATATTTCTAATCCTTCATATTTACATCCACATATAGAGAAAACTAAAGTTGGATTTGGAGTTAAGGCTGATGCTCAAAAATCATATCCCCTCACTGACTCTATTTCCTTATCAGCAAAGATACAGTCTGGAAAATCCTTTAGGTGGTCTCTGGTGTCCTATTTTATTGGTCAGTGCCATCAAAGCAGGTGTGTAGCCCACATACACACCAGTGCTGCCATCAGAGGCGCCCAGGTGAGGCTTCGTGTGCAGGGGCAGATGGAGAGTCGCTCCTGTCTAAGCCCCATCCATGCAGGCTGGTACGGACTGGGCGGCACGTACCATCCTGGCAGCTCCATTCCTGCCCCCTCCCAATTTACAGGTAGGAGACAATCTAATAATAATTCTAGCCATACAGCTTGAAAAAAATGTTAAGATTCAAAAGGAACTCACATGCATATGTAACAAACAATTTAACAGAATCATTCTCAGATTGCAAGGTTCCCAGTAGTGATTTGATAATGCACAGATTTGTTCTAACCCTAGGATGCAGACATCAAAATTGTCCCCAGTTTCTAAGGAAAATGTACATATTCTTTTTTTCCAGAATCTATCTTTCACCCAGGGCAGATAATAAAGAATTTAAGAATATACAATGATAATAAAAGAAATTCATTATAAAAGAAAACATAATTTTAACTCCCTAAAAGAGGGGCAACAGGGGAACAAAGGGAAAAGGAGGATAAAGGTGTCCACACGAGCACAGAAGCTGGAAATGATGTTTGGGTTCCAGAACAATGCTGTAAGCTAGCTCTGCACATCCTCTTCCCTAAGTCCTCTGTCCACCAACATCCACTCACCTGCCTCTCCTAGACATTTCGTGTACTTCTCTTCCCGGCCAATGCACTCTGCTTTCAGTGGCTAAAACACAGCCCCACCACAAAAGGAAGATGCCAAATTTCATATTCTGGACGGCCAACATGGGTTTCCAAATCCAAAAATTCCTCTCCAGAAACCTAGAAAAGGAAACGGATGTTCTTTTTCTTTCTTAAGACATTATTGGTCTGTTCATTAGTAGAAGGATGTTTACTCATGCAAAAAAATCGCCAGCAGTACATAATCTGGTGAGCAAGAGAAAGCAATTTCCACTAAATCTATAAATCCTCCTACATCAGACGTCAGGGATTTTCTGAAAAGAGGTTGAATTTCTGTGTCCCTGTAGAACAATTATCTGGTCCAGTCTAAATTAGTTAATCATCAAAATGCGTTAAGTATGTTGATAAAGGTCTGCATTTTTTAACCCATTGACTAGAAGGAAATAAAAATGGATCAAAGTAATTTCCAAAATGTAAAAGGCCCATGGTGCTGAACTGCTTGGCATGCTCTGTTAATGATCTCCATCCCAGGTCTATGTTAAGCTGTCAGCCACTACTGTTTGCTGGGCTGAGGGCTGGATTTGGACAGCTCCCTGCCCCCACATCTTACTGTGACTGAATCCCTAGACTCAAGGATCGATTGGTAACTAGGCAGGAATCTATATAGAGATATACAGAAAGCAAGTAGAGGCATAAAAAAAAAACCTTATTCTGTACAGAAAGAATTAAATTTCCTTGTCAGTTGCATTATTCTTTAGTAAAAGGCAAAAGATTTATATGGTCTGAGGAGAAACCAGAGCATTATCTTTTTTTTTTTTTTTTTTTTTTTTTTTTTTTTTTTTAAGACAGGGTCTCACTATGTAGTTGAGGCTGACCTGGAACTCACTGTGTAGCCCAGGCTAGTCTTGAACTCACAGCGATCCTCCTGCCTCAGCCTCCCAAGTGCTGGGATTACAGGTGTGCAACACCTTGCCCTGCCAGAGTATTAATTCTTATGAACCTCATTGAAAAAATATCAGTAATAAATGAGCTGTAAACATCAAATCTGTTATGTACAGATGGTTTTTCTTTCCCTTTGATGCTTGCTCGAAGACTGCAATAATTTATAGGCACAAGTTTGCGTTTCCATCAAAAGACAGTCTCACAGCCTTGTGGATGAAAGATACACTTGATCTTCCAAACTGGACTGTTCACAGTCAGCTGACATGGTTTTGGTAACATCCAAACTGTCTTGGTGGACCAAGTAAGGATTCCTAGAATCTGTAGCTGAAAAAACAACTAATCCAAGATCCCACAGAACAAAAATTAAGTGCTGTTATGGCTTGGATATGGTGAGTGCATCCCCTAAATACCCATGTGCTGAAATCTTGGGCCCCAGAGTAGCAGTGTTGAGGTGGTAGAACCTTTAAGAGCCGGGTCTATATGAAAGGTAATTAGGTTATGTGCAGAGGCTGCCTTCAGAAGGGATTGATATTGTTCTCAGGGGATCCTATTGGTTCCCAAGACAGTGAGTTGTTACCAAAAGAGAACCCTGGCCCCTGAGTCTCTCTCTCCCTCAGTGAGACCGTTCTCTCTGTCACGCATGCTTCTGCCATGACATTATCTTCCAAGGTGTGATGTGGCTGGAAGCCCCTCACCATGACCTGAAATGATGACTCCTCCTGCCCTTGGACTCTTAGCTTCCAAAACTGTGAGCTAAATAAGGCTCATTCTAAATGCATTAGTCAGATATTCTATTGCAGTAACAGAAAATGGGCTAACAATTACAATGGACTAAAAGAATTAATGAGGGGAATTTTATTGAGGTTATTTAGAACATTGTTGATGTACTTTAAAGTTTTATTTCCCAGATATGAAAAGAGCCCTTCCTCTTCCTTCTTATGCTATCTATAATTCACCATGATTTAGTAAATTCTGCTTTCATAAACTAAAATGAAACATTTAAAAATGCTATATGATTCCCCACTGATGCAATTCCCTCCCTCCAAATTGAGAAGCACCTGATCTCTTTACATTTCGTGGCAATAGTTGTTTGCATAGGTTCAGTTAAGAATCTGTTTTCCTTTATGCCAGGATATAACTGGAAGAATCAATTATGCAATCAGGACCTTAAGCAAGAATGTCATATATGAAAGTGGCACTCATGTAACTAGGTATGACAAGCCATTTTAAGGGACAAAGTTTGGCTGTATTTATGGAGTCCATATGTCTATAAAATTGGCTTAGGTCTAGATAATAGAGTCTAGACTGATAGGCAGTATGGAAGATCATCTCCAGGCAAGCCCTTATTTTTCTGAAAGCTAGGGGAAAAAAAAGAATTTGCAGGTAAAATTTTGTAGAGCTTCTTGGGCTTTGTTTTCTATCCTCAGAATGATAGCAAGCAATAGATGCTTTTAAAAGTCTAATCTAATGTTCCTTGTGGTAGCTTCTAGACAGAAGCTAATTTGGAATTGTTCAATAGCATATGGCTCTTGATTTTGCAAAACAGCTGATAAAAGTCTCTATGGTGATGACATTCTTTGATGAGTCTATGGAAGAAATCAGCCAAACCAAAGGAGTGTGTGTGTGTGTGTGTGTGTGTGTGTGTGTGTGTGTGTGTTCAAGAATAACCTGTCTTTGAAACTACATACAATCACAAGGATAAGGAAGCTGGTCCACAAAAATCATTACCTTTTAAAATGGGCAAAAGAGATTACTGAAGGTCCTTTCAGTTGAATGCTGAACATTCTATTCAGAATGTGGATCTTCCCAGAATTACCTGATTTTATAGGTTGTGTGCCTCTGATTATCCTTGACTAGGCTATTTTACAACTCTGTAAAGGTAGACATTAAAATGAAGAAAACTGACATCAATGCATATCTTTCCTGTCTGGGGCTGTACAAATTACCTCTTTTGTCTGATAGAGAATAAATATCTCTGTGGATCAAATCCTTATTTGAATCATTTATAACAGCTTACTGATCCCCTCAGTAAGTAATGAATTTTTAAAAAACTTGATATTTTTTTATTTTATAGCAATCTGAGAGTCTTCTTTTATAAGTCATCAAGACTGTCAAGAAATAGATGTTGGTACACAGAGAAATAAGGGCAGAGCACATGGTGCCTGCAGAGGTAAATGTGAGCTTGTCATGATTAGATAATTTGTAGTGATTTACTGACCTGAAAAACCAAGTGACCAAGGGGGGATATTCTGGGGCTGAGTACATCAAAATGTCCAGAGCAGTAAGGAATCAGTCAGGGAATGGAAGGGCATGAATGGATATTTGATGCCAGGTTGGAAAATACCTTTCTCTATTGTTTAGGGGCCAGCTCTAGGGTTCAGAAATCTGGGCCATAATCAAAGAGAGCAAATCCAGAAGTCCTCAGACATGCCATCTCCTAGTCTCCCTCTCAGTAGCCTAGCTGAGAGCTATCTCAGCAAGTTGAGTCAGCTCAATGGAAAAACAAGCTAATACTAGCTGCCGAGCCTTCAGGGCAGAGTGCTGGGAAGAGGGGCCCCTCTTCAAGGCTTCTGTTTATCCACCAACTGACCACACCCAGCCCAACCACCCCTCTCATTGTGATCCAAGAGCCCAGAAAGGTGTGTACCCTTTGCTGTTCCTATGATTATAAGCATTTTAAACAAATTTCACTTCCCATTAACACCACAGGCTCTGCTGTGGAGAACATCTATGCCATCTTTATAGGACAAGGATATAGCAAGTAGGACCAACGCTAAGCTTATGAAGGATATAGACAGACTGAAGTATCACATTTCCAGATCGATTTTTAAGACCAATTTTTTGGTTATAAATTTTAAATTCAATCTCTTCCCTTTACTCAAAATATAACAGAGACCTAGAGGTTAAACCTACAGATACCCAATGGGTAACTAAAAGCAGGATGAATCTTGCTATATCTACCTTCATTTTTGTACCTGTGCCCTCATTACCTTAAAATGAGGGTTTTTTAGGTTTGATTCCTGGTTGGCTCTGTACATAGGCATGCTAATCACTAAGGAGTGTTACTAATACAAGGTTCATTAGTGCTAAATTACCTAGCATATCTTCCTTCAAGACTGAGGACACTAAAATAAGGCTAACTAAAGTAATTTGTCAGGATTTGTGGGGACATCTAATTGCCTAGTTTTATGAGTGTCCAGTTCCAGGCCCTTTGGAGTATGCTTAGTAGTCTTCAGTCATTGTCCTAAACGTGTAGTCACCTTGGACTCCAGCAAAAGCAGAGCTTTTCAGGCCACCCCCTGACGATATTTCCCTCTAACAAGGAGCAATTATCCCATGACAGAAACTGGGGCTACCCCTACCCCTGCAACAGAGCTGTCATCTCATGAATGGAACTGAACTGCCTCCTCAAGCAATGATGGCTCTCCCGGAACCTCACAGAACCTGTCCTAAAATACAGTCAAGTAGCCTGTGCTTGACCAGGATTCCCAACACTGCCAGCTATCTAAACCCCTAAGACTTGCCTTTGTTACTGTCATAGTTACCTTTCTCGTTGCTGAGACAAAAATGCCTGAAACCCAAGTTGAAGAAGAGAAGGTTTATTTGGCTCATATTATGTACCTGTTTCAGTTCATAGTAGGCTGGCTCAACAGCAGGGTGGCATGGCAGAGGGGCATTGCAAAGAAGAAACAGTGCGTGGCAGGCAAAATGCAAAAGTCAGGAAGGCAGCAAGCAACAAGCAATGACAGCAGCCCTTTTCCTATCCCTTACATGTTATCCAAACTACCCAGGGTGGGTAGCACTCACACCCAGAATGGAACACCCTTAATCCTAACATTACACCATGAATCAGTCCTACCATAACATATTCTAGATCCAGCCACCTCTGAAAATCTCCATCCATGACCACATGAAGCTACGGGGGGACATCTACACACAAGCCATAACAGTTGCCCTTTCCTATAAACCCCAAAGTTTCTGTCAGCCCCTTGAAGATGATCTTGAACTTTTTGATTTGTTCTCCTAAAATTGCCATGCTGATGAAAGTTCCTTTCCTGCCCTTCACTGCTGCTTATCTCCTTGATTGATTTTTCTGGGGGGGGTACTGGGGATCAAACTCAAAACCTTGTGCTTATAAGGCAGGCAGGAGCACCACTGAGCTAAA